GGTTCAGTATTTTTATGTTGACCTTAAGACATATTTTTGAAGAAAAAAAAGTTGTTAAGTATTTTAATAATCATATTACAAAAAAATCAATAAATTTTAGTCACATTTTTAGCGAAACATTTAAGATTATTATTACATAACACATTCATTCAAGAACGTGCTCAACTGATGACTTTATAAAGTCACAGTTAAAACTTAAAAAACTGCAATTATTAATAAGATAATTGAAGTGTTTCACACAAGTTGTAAAATTTAAAAATATCATGTAAACCATAATTAAACATAATTTTTACCTGTTATTTTAATATTCAATGGTGGTGTATTTAGTAAGTCCCTGATATCTTCAGCAATATCTTTTTTATAATACTCTGTCCTCAAAACAACATCATCAAGGCCTTTTGGATTAAATTCATTAAAGTCCTGCCAAATAAAAATAAAAATAAAAATTTTAAATATAGTTAATAAAAAAAAAAAACCAAATTTAAACAATAGTAAATAATATCATAAAATCATATTTCGCCCTCAAATACATAATAAGTAGAAATTTTATAAACTGAATATATTTTTATGATCCATTACTAACCAAAATGTTTAATAGTTAATATTGTAATGAAATTAATTACAGAAGATTATAAAAATGAATTGTATGATTTTAAGATAATTTGACTAATGTTGTTAAGTGAATACACACACCCCACATGCATGCATTGTATGTGTCTTACAAATGCAAATTAAACTTCTAAATAATCCTTCAACACTTTTATGTTTAATATTACAATGAAATGAATACATATATTTACAATGAGTATAAATAATTTTGTTCATTAGCATTCATAATCTAAAATAAATACAGTCATCGCGATAACTCGAATTTTTTTTATTTCCCTAGAAAATTCTTCCCCAATAATTAGTTAGATATCTCAAAGCAAATTTTCATCACCCTTCAACTTCGAGTTATCGCGTCTCGAATGTACTTATAAAAAAAATATTGATGAAAATAAAAACAGGTAATATATGGGTCATGTCAATATGTTGAATTTCAGTGCCATGAGATATTATTTTCACTTGTCAGTTATAACGGAGTTAATTCTTAAAATTTTCAAACCTATTAAAGACTTTAAGAACTTTATACAGTAAGTTGAAAATTTAAATTTAAAAATCTAGAAGAGTTTAAATTGTTTAGCAGATAAATTCAAATTATTTTTTTAATATCTTAGCATCAAAAAATTATTATTTAGAAAATATCTACATTTATTACAAGGAAATTTTAAAAATTGTTTAAGCCAATGGCCAAAATGTATTTACAACATTGCCATATTTCATTATACATTTTTAAAACTATAAAATTGCCTAGGAATTATGTAAATTGTCTAAACTATTGTTAGCAATTTTACATAGACCAACGTACTACACATTTAAAGGGATGAGATATATCATCGACAAAGAGAAATTATTTTTAGATATTTATAGGTGCCATGATTACTTTCCGATTTAGCGTAATTTTCTACCATGATTCATAAGGATAAGTGTGTAACATAGCAATTTGTACGCTCATCAGAACACGAGCTCTGTTAGTTTAAAATTTAGACTTTTAGAGTGAATTGACCTTTTATAAAAATTAAAGGCAACATTATTATTAAGAGCTTCTCATGGTTTTTTTTTTTTATTATGTTTTAATTTTAAAGCGATTTATGAGTATTTTAAAATTGTAAACTGTTTGTATATCTTAAAATACTCATAACGCGCCTTAAAAATTAAATATATTTTTTAAAAAACCATGAGAAGCCCTGAATAATTATGTTACCTTTAATTTTTAAAAGACGTCAGTTTACTCTAAATTTTAAACTCATAAAGCTAAACCTGATCTGCTGAGTGTAAAATTTACTATGTTACGTACTTGTTAGGCGGAGACAACACATGCGGATTGCGGATGCCGGATAGTATAACATCCTCTTAATCAGAAGACATGAACATATTTTATCACATTGCAATTTTATGTAAACATAAAGTTTATTTATAATTGTTTAAAGTTTAAACATATTTAATCAATATTATTTATAAAATATAATTTTGTGTTATTGTGCTCAGTTTATCATTAAGAGGACGTTACGCCTGCATACGTTGTCATCATCTTACAAACGCATAACATAGCAAATTGTATGCTCAGCAGATCACGTATAGCTCCGTTAGTATAAAATTTAGAGTAAATTGTCCTCTTACAAAAATTAAAGGTGACATTATTATCCAGGGCATCTCATAGGCTTTTTATTATAATTTAATTTTAAAGTGAGTTATGTGTATTTTAAAATTGTAAATTGTTTGTATATCTTAAAATACACATAACTCACTTTAAAATTAAATTATAATAAAAAACCTACATTATGCCCTCGATAATAATATTACCTTTAATTTTTGTTAGAGGTCAATTTACTCTAAATTTTAAACTAACGGAGCTAAACGTGACCTGCTGAGCATACAATTTGCTATGTTACGCACTTGTAAGACGGAGACAACATATGCGGGTGTAGCGTCCTCTTAAGTAGCAGAAGTGCATAACAATATTATAGATACAACTCTTACGATAATAAAAGATTATACAATMTGTGATATTGTTAAACAGCAACAGACAGTCCTTAAATATGCAAAATATTCTTTTAATATTAAAAAAAATTCAGTTTAAATTTATTTTAGGTAACAAAATAACCTACGTGCTATCGCAATTGATAAGGAATACCTGGAGATTAATTTTTATTAAAATCCAGAAATTAATTATTTATAAACAGAATTATTTAGTGAACATTATACCTATCAAAGTGCTGATAGGTATACGTGAAATATATTCATTATATGCCGATATTACAAAAATATTCTCAAATATTCTCTAACGTGATAAATATTCTCTAACCCATAAAATATGCTTTTTTATGCAGAATAATTTTTTTCCTATGAATTCTGTGTTTCATGAATCGTAAAGATTTCTCACTCCCACTTAACTGCATAGACTAGAAACAAATATGTAAAATCATAAAAATCCTACCTCTAGCCATTAGTAACTAATAATCCAATTGTAATTACCAAAATTAATTTTTTTTTTTAATTATAAACATTAATTCTAATACACAAAATTATAAAATGTTATTGAAAAGATTCAAATGGGCCTATATAATTTTTCAGACCCACCATTGTTTTGCTAAATATGATGGAAAAGTTAGTGATGCACCATGTATTTTTTTTCAAATACAATGTTTTAAAGTTCCCCATAAACTTTTATAGAATATGACAAATTTTTGGAGAGCTACAGTTTTCACAAGGAATATCAATTATTAGATTAAGGTTTTTTTCCAAGCATAGTAAAACAGTGGTTAATCTTCTAGAAACTTGGGCATAAAAAAAATTTTAAATGCACTATATATTTCTATTAATTTCCTACATAGAGTATTTTTTTTTGTTTTTAAATCTTTAGTATCATTTTTTACATTTATAGAGTATTGTCAAAAATTACTAGAAATTCTTTCCCAATAGTATCTAGACTATATCTGCAAGCTATAAATATGTGGAAATTCTGAAATGATATCTTACTAATATAACTTAATTTTCAAGTTCATTGTGTCAATCAACTTAAACCACAGCCAATTGATGTTGATATCTTTAAGGATTTTATTTTAATCTTATAAGGTGAAAATATTTTAAGTCTAAATAAACTAATATTGGCACTATTTTTTTTAGTATTTAAAAATGATAAGAAGATGAAATTACACAGATTACATTAAATGAAAAGACAATTTTTTTCATAAAAATAAAAATCATAAGTATTTTATTTTTTATTTAGTAAACCTTAGAACTATGTCATCATATGTTATCAAGAATTTATAGTTTTATAAGTTTGGATAATAAATGAGATATTTTTATTAAACAAAAAATTATTTTGATAACAGATTTTAATATTTCACAAAATCGTAAACGTCTACTAAATAAATTTACTAAATTAGATAAATAGACATTTATTTTAATTTCTTGACTTTAAACTTGTTTATAACTTTCAGTTTGAATATTATTAATTAGAATATACTTACAATAGAAAGAATTGCGTTTGGTGTAATAAAAGTTTTTTTGAAATGATTTTTGATAACTTCAATTTCATTTTTTGTTTTTAATGGTGGCATGTTTTGTAGTTGAACTTTTATGACAAAATCTTGAAACTGAAAAAAAATCCATACATTTAAAATTGGAATATTTAACAAAAATAGATTAGTAGGTAATTTTTATACCCATCTTAATAATATAATCAATAAAATATAGTGTTTCAGGTCTTTTCATCATACTATAAGAATCTCATAATAGTGTGTGGATTATAATAAACCTATTTTGAATCTTGTAAAAGCGACATTTTAAATGTATGAACATTAGAATGATACCTATCTCATTCAATTTTTAAAATTTTAGTTTATTATGCTCAGAAATGAAAATTATTAAAAATGAAAATTATAAAAATGTTGATTATTTTGATCAAAATTAAATTATTTCACAACATTTTTTTATTTCTAAATCACAAGATCTAAAACATTTAAAATACAAATTAACATATTGAAATTAGAGATTTTTGGGGATGACAATATTGCAAATTTAACAAGATAAATATCACAAGTATATATCCTTAAAAATCCTATGTTCATTGGAACAAAATAGATTTTCAACTACAATAGATTAATAATATATATTTTAATAAAGTCTTTAAACTACTAATTATAAATACTTTTTCCAATTCTTTTGGCAAATCAAATATATCTTCAGCATTTACTATTTCTGTATTCCCATAATCCAGGTAAAAAACATGATATTCATTATCAATTATGTTTATAATTTGAGCACGAGAATTCATAACCACATTTAATAATGACTTCACACATACTTTATCGCCAATTTTCAACATTTCTTTAGGGATATTATTATTAACTGAAAAATTGTAAATAAAATATATACATACTTATTAAATAAGTTATTTAATGACTTAACATACCATTTCTATAATATTTCAACATCTGTTTGTTGAATGCATTAAAGTTTTCAATAAATTCATATGATGCATCGCGGATAAAAATTGAATTGAAGTTCTCAAAATTAGTTATGAAAACGGATGAACCACTCTTAATAGGATGAGATGGTTTCTCCATTGTACTTTCTTTTGTCTCGGGAATGACTAGTTCAAAATTAAAATTTATAAACATAATTTAATTTTAAAAAAAAAATAGAATTAATTATTACTAATTTTTCTTTCTAATCTCCGCTGCTGAGATACAGTCTCCCTAGAAGAAGAATCATTAGAAAATAACTTTTGTATTTCATTATTAAGAGACACACTGCTTTGCAATTCTTTTAATACAACTTGTCTATGCCATTGTTCAGCTTTTTTATCATATTCCTGTGAATACAAAATATAGTTTTTATTTATTAAAAATAATATTCTGGTATACTCATAAAATAAACATACCATAACATATATTTTTCCTTTCAATTGAGATAGATATTGTATTATCTTAGAATTTAAGATCTTGTTTAAACCGTTAAGTGAAACTCTACGAGCCATAGTTGGTATCTAAAAAAATATCATTATAATTACTGTAATAAATTATTTTAGCACATTTGAATAAATAATTTAAGTAAGTATTAATATTATTATATTTTCTACTCACTTTATTTAATGATACATAGTTAGGCAATGCAAATAAATGTTTAGATGGGATCAAATCAATTTGACCAATATCAATTAAAGAACATTTGATCATATTTGTATTATCAAAACCTGGGATGTTGACTCTAGCTCTATAAATACCTCCATGTTTTGTAGAATATACTGCAACAATATCATTAGTCTTTGCGGCTATTGGTTTGTAATTTTCACCTATAAAAAATTGTTTAGTATATCAATCAAAACAAAKTTTAATACTTATAAAATGTTTATATACTAAAAAGTAAAAACACCAAATAATTAACATTTAACAGTAAAATCTTTGTTTTATAATAAAATATATAATATAATAAATATGATTCAATTGATTCATAACCAATCATAAGTCAGGTTCAGACTTTTTTTAAGCCAGTTGCGAATTAAGTTTAAGTTAAATATTATACAGATATTTGCTACAAATTTTTCAATATAAAAATATTATCAGAAAAAAAGTAAAATGTCAAAATGTACTATTTTCAAACTATTAGTTTTAGCTTTAAATGTTATAGTCCCTAAAATTATGTACAACTTGTCTACTTCAAAACTACAGTTGAACAAATTACTTGAAGCACTAGTGTATTTATTGGAAAATTGCTTATCTTAGAAATTTATTTAGTTTTAGAAATAATACATGTAACCAAAACTTAATCTTACTATTTTCTCTTTTTAGTTGGTCTAAAACATTCTTAAATTCGTCATATAATTTAATTTTTCTTACAAAAATATTGTCAACATTATTTCCAAATAAAAATTCAACATGATCTCCACTTTGCCAACTATTAATATTTGAACCTGAAAATTTAAATATGCATTTTATTATTCTAAGAATAATTTTAAATACAATTGGAAATATGAACATAATCATTAGTAGTATAGTCAATAAATAATTTCTTTAAAATCACAAAACAATTATTTATAAATTATTAGAGTAGAAAAATAAAGCCTAAAAAAGTCTATATGTAGTAATATTATCTTACCATTAGTTTTTATTATTTGAGAATTGGATGTAGCCAATTTAGGTAAATTTGCATTGTTGTCAGATGTATTATACATCTTGACTAAATCATCAACAATATCTTGTCCACTACTTTGTTTTATTAAACTTACTTCATTTAAATAATTGAAATTACCCTCATCATACCTCTGTTAAAAAAAAATATATTTAATACAAATTATATTTTCAATTAAATAAATGTATACCTATAAGGTTATAATCCAAGTATCTAAAAAATGATAATTGTATAAAAATAAAGTTTATTAAAAGTGTAAATTATAATAAATTGTGGGTACACTTATCACTTTTAAGCAACAGTTTTCCATTCATGGTAAACCAAAATAAAACTGTTATAAGTGGATTGGCATATAGGAAAATCATATTTTATAAATACAACTATTAACTAATATACTAGTCTTATAATCTTATTATTTTAAATTATATTATATTATTGTTATTAAGGTATACAATTTTGCTAGTCTTAAAAATGGATTGCCTAAAATTCCACTAAGCTTAACATTTGAAAGTTATCAAAGATAGTTCGAATAAAAATAAAAAGTTATAACATGTTTCATACATATAGTAATATTGTTGATAATAATAAAACCTTTGAGGATCCAATAAAATATTGTCAACATTTAAGAATCTTATATTTACAAAAATGCATGCAAACACATTGCAAAGTGAAAAGGCGTAAAAACTATGTTGTTTGCTGTTAACATTTTAATGAAATACTAAAGTTGTAGTTTATCAGAAAAAAGTGATACTGATATATCACTATTACTTGTCTTACCCTTAATCATATCATGTGTACAACATATTTTTTTCAAAACTACTCTACAAACCTTTCTAACAATATATCTAATTTCCTTTATTAAAGTGGAGTTATTGGTACAACAAAAGAAAGTACCTAAGTATTAATAAATAGATATCCTTTAATATGAATTATAAGTTTTATAAGAATTATATATCAACAATTAACATATGAATATAAGTACCTTGTTAAAATTACGCTTATACTCAGAAAATTCTTTCAACTAATATTTTAATTGCTAGAGTATTTAAATTGCATTTGCAATATTAAATATTTTTTATAAAACTAATGGCTTAGAAACACTGATTTTAAATTTTAAAGGATAGTATCTGCTTGGTTGTTTAATTTGTTGAAATTCATGATCATAAAAACTTTTCAAATAATAATAAAGATAATGTTGGTGACGCGGTAATACCATAATGTTTTAAATAAATTGATGATTTATTACTTTTTACAACATTATTATTTAAGGATAAATGTTCAACAGAGTAATTTTTGTACAATAAGTGCCAAAGAATATTATTTTTACTAAAAACAGAGGTTAGGTTAAGAAAGATAGTTAATTTATACACAAAAATTGTTAGCAATAAATATCACCAAATTATCTACCTCTGATTATTGTGAAAATAAAACACTTAGTATCGCTAAAATGGTACACCTAACTACCAAAATAAAATATCAAACAATTTCATACCGATTAGCCTAAAATTTCATTGAATTGGTAAAATTAAATTTAAATAATTTGGCTATATTATGTATTAAACTATTAAAGTGTAATCATATCAATAAAAAAAAAGATAACTCACTAAAATTAACGGAACTGGATCATTTTGCCACAAATTATAAAAATACTCTTTAACACTTGTAGCTAAAGTTAAACCTGTTGTACCTTTAAGGCCAACCTTTAGAGCTAGACCAGGAATCTATAAATAAATATATTAATGTAAAAAATAATAATAAAAAAACAATAAATTAGCTAGTTTATAAGTTACATTTTTTAAACTATTTGGAAGTTCAAAGATGTTACTATCAAGCACGTCTATATTTTTTCCAAGATCCATTAAGAATACAGAATACTTATTTCCACATTTATCAAGTACTTTAGCACGGTAAATATTCTCTTCAAATTTCACTCTTACTATATCCTTATATTTAGGATTCTCTTTTACAATAATATCTAAAATAAATAAAATAATACATAATTTTATGCATAAAGAATACATTTATAAGTTCATAATAATATTATGCAAATTACAACTATTACTAACTACTGAAGTTATTGTATTTATTTAATTTGATTTCAATCAGCTAAGCCTCTTCATATTTAAACAATTAAAACCACTATACAGTGTGATCACGATAAGTGGAAACACTCAATAACTATGTGCAGGCTTCATATATTTCAATTCTGCTTTTTCGGCTAACTAATAAACATTATTATACACATTTTCAAATAATTAGACTATTTTTTTGACACTTAACTTTGCGCATGCGCACAATAACTTTTAGTTTTAAATGGCATGATCCATTTTTGACCACAAATTATTTTTTTTGGTATTTTTTTATGAATTTTAGTGGTTGAATTTCTTTTCTAAGTCAAAAAATGACCGAGTTACAGCAATTTGATTTTACATTATTTGCACGGGTATAACAGATTATAAAATACTTAGTTAATAATAAAAAAATAAAAATAACTAATCCAATTTATGAAATACCTGTTTACCTATTGTAATAACGTAAAATCAAATTGCTGTAACTCGGTCATTTTTTAACTTAGAAAAGAAATTCAACCACTAAAATTCATAAAAAAATACCAAAAAAAATAATTTGTGGTCAAAAATGGATCATGCCATTTAAAAAAAAAAAGTTATTGTGCGCATGCGCAAAGTTAAGTGTCAAAAAAATAGTCTAATTATTTGAAAATGTGTATAATAATGTTTATTAGTTAGCCGAAGAAGCAGAATTGAAATATATGAAGCCTGCACATAGTTATTGAGTGTTTCCACTTATCGTGATCACACTGTATATTATAACAATTGAAGGGTTTAGGAAAAAAAAACAATAGCAATTCTATTTCTGTATACTTTTCAGAAGAGTAAAAACAAATTTTAGCCTTCTACCCATCTAATAATTAAAATGAACTATTTTAGTAAAATGTATCAACACTATCAACTTAAAAAAGCAATTCAAAATGTTTGATTATTAGAAGAGATAAATATATATATATCAAAATATAAAAGTACTAAGTTTTCAATTAAATAAATATTTCAAAGTTGGACTAACCTACTAGAAAGATTATTTCACTGGATCAATTTAAACACTCAATTTTACTTTTAATGTGCAATCAAATCAAATCAGAAAAACTGTACTACTACTTTATTCATCTACCCTTTAATTAATTTTACACAATGTGTTCACCTTAGTAATTATGGAAAATATTTCAGCTGAATAACCTTAGATAATAATGGGGATTTTTAAGTAAGTAGAGTATACTACAATATATATTCTCAAAATTTTTTCACAATGATAATCATAATTAGTTCATGCACAACAAAATAAAATTTTAAATGGCTTAACTTATTACTGAATTTCAATAACCCTACTTTTTTCAACCAACTTTGTGCATTAACTTTTTTCTTCTTCAAAATGACCAAAGGTTAAACTAACAAGATAAATGTTAAAAGTCGCTAAATTTATTTTATTTTATTTGATAACAAGTTTGTTATTTTTTTTTTTCAACACTAAACACTTATGGTGGATCAGCATAAACAACAGTTCTTAAAGATTTCTTTAGTTTTGCCAAAAAACTATTTGATGAAAACAAAAATCCAGAATTACTTTTCTTTAATTAAAAATTATATTATAAGGTAACAGGTTATAATAAGGATGGGTTAATGTATAATTATAAAATAGAATAGTGGGTAGTTATGTAATGCTTAAATTACCTACTTAAGTTATCTTTTATTTCGTATTTATTATGTGGAGGCTGGACCGCCATAAAGTGTCAATGGACAATTGATAATAATTTAAACTCATAGCTCCACATTTTTAAGTAGGTAAAAATCATTGGTATTGAATACAGTAATATAAAAAAACAAAAATTTGTTGACACAATAATATTAATAAAATTTAACTTAAGTAGGTAATATAAACATTACATAGGTTAACCATTTTTTAATATAATTGTGTACATAAAACTTATAATATCTATAACCTAATACTAAAATTTTCAGAGGTAAAGAAAATTAATTTGACATTAGTGTTATCATGAAAATGGATTTTGTTCTTTGTCAAATAATCATTTTACCAACATGTCTGCAAATTGTATTCAAGGCCTACTAAAAAAAAGAAAATCAAGTCTCATTAAATTTCATGGAATGTATAATTATTTGTTTATTTGAGCATATTCATAAAAATTCTCAGTTTTATTTTTAGGTATTATCTTACATTAATAGTATGAATAGAAGCTCACTATCCGTGATTCTGTATCCTTAATAAATAAGAAAGACCATTAATGTTTAATCATTAAACAACTGTAAAAACAATAAATTTGATGATAGAAAGTTTATTCATTAGTTGCTTGAAAAAAATAATTTAAGTTTAGTATTAAGTTTGGACATTAGTATAGTGGAAGGAAAACGTTTTGAGAATTAAATCAGAATTTTTTTTTTTTTGTAATTTCTTCTATCTTTATGAAAATTCCAATAGAAATCAAAGGTTATCCAGATGAAATATTTTGTGTTTCTAATTACTAAATTATTAAACACATGTTGTATATTATGTGATTATTAGCTATAAATAATTATAAAATAACAACTAAAAAGAGTATAAAACCCCTATTTAAGGACAAAATTCATTAATTTTTTCATATATTCATATATCCATCAATATATTAGTCAATCAATTAGTAGTCAAAAACAATCAATCAATTAAACTGAAATTTCAGAAATAGTTGTTATGCTATAAAATAAGTTTTGTTGTCGAGTACGGTCACTATAATGGATGAATTGCATTTTAAATACAATGATTAACCATTGTTCATTGATTACAAAAATTATAGTTATGAAGATAGGCCTCTATCTTTAAACATATTTAGTAACATTACTCAAAATTAGAGATGTTACGAACTTTTCGATTTTCGAACTGAACTTAACCGAATTCTGGGTGTTCGGTTTGGTTCGAAAACCGAACTGGAAATTCCAAATAATCAAACCGAACCAAATATCTAATAGTTCCGTTCGATAATCAAACCAGAGAAATAAAAATAAAAGTCGATGGAGTAACGGCTAAAATTATAAATTATAATTAAAAAATTAATAATTAATATTTATTATTTATTACTATTGTTATTGTTAATTGCGTGTTTCAACCGGCCGCAGCACACTTGTCCTTTCCTATCCCCCATAGCCAATGACCAAATGCGCATTAACCGAAACTGTCAAGATAGTAGATACTCCGTGCGGTGGGGAAGGGGGACTTCGTTATGAAAACCCTCGATACAAAAATAGATTGTTATTAGTTGTTTAATGTTTGCTGATATTGATGTTTTTGCTTTTTTTTTATCAGTTATCATCATATTAATAATTAAAAATTAAAAATCTCATGCATAATTATTAACTATTAAAGTATTTWAAGTATTTAAGTAAATAGTAGTAAAATCTTTACTCAATAATTCTGAGGGGTATGGTGGCTAAATGATAAATAAATAAATATTTAATATTAAATAAAATAATACCCAATTTAACTTTTAATATTCGGTTCGGGTTCGATTAAAAGTGTGTAGGTTCGGATCGTTCGAGTTTGTTAATTTAAAGAAAAGTTCGGTTCGAATTCGGTTTGGGTTTGGTTTGACCTKAAATATTATGGTTCGTAACATCTCTACTCAAAATCTAAAATACATACATACGTATACGTGCATACATTTGATTTAATTTTAATATTATCAATACACATTTAAATGCGCACTCAATAACAATTACATTAAATAATTTATAGTACTAAAAATATTATAATTACCATTTGCCATTTTAGAATTTATGATCAAACTAAAATTTTCTGGTTTAGTATTATTTTTAGAACATTTACAAAGGTATAAATGGTTAAAATCTTCAAAATGAGTACAAAAAACAATATCACCAGTTCTCAATTCAATATTTGGTATGACTTCTGGTTCAAGTGAGCTTATCAACACTGCCTCATCTTCAGTAATATTTTGTGTTTTTTGAATAGATTCTTCTACAAATCAGAAAAATAGAATAATCTTATACAGAAAAACCTAATTAAAAATATTCACACTACTAAAATAGTAGTTATGTGAAAAATATTTTATGCTGCAGACAATTAAAAATAGTTGATTTATTAAAAAATTTTACAAGATTTCAAAAGTATCAATAACACAATATTTAAGAAATCAACACCAAAAAAAAAACTGAAAAGTCATGTTTTAAGCGTGAAACATACTTCATGAAAAATAAGTAATGGAAATATAAATTTGTATAGTTTAAGAGGACGCCACACCCATATGCGTTGCCTCCGTCCTACAAATGCGGAACATAACTTGAGCGGGAATGAACAACTGTTCTCCCTCAGTATTTACGGTAGAATTATCAGAATTTCACAATAGATAGGAAAAACTTTATCTGTGTCATAGAGTCGTTATTTCTTTGATCACATAAATATAAAATTAAAGTTATTAGCTCAAAAAAAAAATTTTTTTTTCATTTAATTATTAAAAATTATTGGTTTGTATCATCTAAAAAAGTAAAGACGCTATGACACAATCAAAGATCTTACTTATCCGTTGAGGAATTTTGATAATTAAGTACTTAATTATTAATTAAGTATATATTTAAATAATTTAGGTAATGTATATAATTGTTGTTCGTAATAATAATAAAAGGTTAGATAATGAGATTAGGTTAAGACATGCCTTTAGTATCAATTGGTTTGTCCAACATTTTGTATAATTCATCAAAAACATCACAGTTATTCTTTCCTTTTAAACTAGCTTCTTTTAGTCCGTTCGGGTTTTCTTCATCATATTCCTATATAAAAAAAAGTTATCAATAAACATATTATTTTGATTTACAATAACCATTTACTTATTTGAAAATAAATATTTTTTTATGAGAAAACAGTAAAACTTACAACATAATTAATTTTGTGTTTTTAAGTTTCATTTAAAAGTAAATTAACCTATTATTCAATTTAAAAGTAAGAACATACTATGTGCTTTTATGTTAGTTTTTATAAGATAATACATTTAAAGTGTATAATGAACATTTTAATAAAAAATATTACTCGTGACCAAATTTAAAATTTAAAAATTGTAAAGTAAAATATTCTTTTCGTAATAGATAAAAGTTTACTCAAATATTAAAAATTAACAACAAAAATTTGGATCTTCTGTGCAAGTATTTGCTTTGTTGTGCATATTTTTTAGACAAAGATAATACGTGTAGAAATGATGTCCTAATATCCTAGTGATTTTCTAACTTAATACTTAATATGAAAAACATTACATATTTTCAACTAATAATATTTTTATTGATGTGTTAAGAAATGTATACTGTGAATATAAAGGTTGTGTCAATGCCACGGATAAAAGTGCCTCAAGGCACTTTAAATATGTTCACTGAGCACTGGTTATCATTTAGATCTTATAATAGCAAATAGTAAAAAATATAATCAATGAAGTTCATAAATACTTACAATAAACAAAAGTTGATTTTCTAACCCTTCTACATATTTTGCCACTAAGTCGTCAGACTTATCAATTATTGGTGATCTTTTAATACCAATTTCTATACACAAACCAGGAATCTAAAAAATATAAATTATTACATTAAATTATCATTCTAAATAATTTGAATAAAATATATGACAACCTTTTTTAATTCTTCTGGTAATTCAAAAATTTCATCAGCATTAACCGTTTCATTATTTCCAAAATCAATAAAAGAAATATAGAAATGGTTTATATCAACTTTTTTAAGTATCTTCGCTCTATACATATAACCTTCAAACATTGCTTTAACAATATCTCCTACTCCAATTTCTAACTTTTTAATTTTTGCTACAATAAAAAAGATATATAAATTAGTTTTGATAATCAAAACAGAAATGAATAATTACATTATGATATTATATCCACCTATCATATGCTTATATATTTTTAAACATTTAGTTACATGAGTTTAAATATTTAGGAATCAACACAAAAATTAAATAAATTAATTTGTTGTATAAATTCAAAGGTTTCAAATAAAATATTTTATGTTGCATATTTTAATAACATTATGGATTTTTAATATTATTTTTTAAGTTTTTATAACATTTTTACAAATTGGAGTTTGATATAATATTTATTATTAATTTTTCAAAATGTTATGAAAGAAGCAACACACATTATGTCATATAGAAAAAAACATTTAGGTAATTTATATACTGATATAAGGTTTTGAGCAGTGGTGGTTTTTCCAAGGCAGTGCCAACTCTTGAAAATAAGAGAACAATTTGTTGGTATTATTTAATTATAAAATATTGTTCATTTATATATTTTTTTTGTTTATAAACTATACACTTATGAAAGGGAAATAAATAAAATATACGTAAGGGACTTTGGTTATTGATGTATTATAACGGTACTAAACTCAGTCTCAATCTTTAAGCAAGACTGTGATATCCATATGTAAGAAAAAACTATGTCCACGTTATGTGCACAACAGGTAAATACAATGATAATATTGTTTGTATTTATTACTGTACATTATAGCTGCCCTTCCATACGACCCAACTAGGCAGCTATATCCTAAGGAAGTAGCCACCATCACACTCTCTGGCATGTTTAATAGTACACAAATATAAGAACACAATATGACACATAAGGATAAAAAATAATACAAATAGAGCATGTGCAATTCTCTATATTTACTGCACATAACTGTTGCATCCATCAACAAATTTAGGCTCAGGCTGCCTGATTATCATTCTCATTTCTGGGAACAAGTGGTTTGATCATTCATTACACCAATGCCATTACATGTTATTATATACGAAAATAGTTATTATTAGGGCTCGGATGTTGTTGCACTTAAGAATTGAAATAAAAAAATATATTTTACCAAAAAAATTTAAAAAAATATATTAACAAATTATTTTATGAAATGGATTAAGTTATTTTATTAAGTAATATTATAAAGTTCTATTAGATAGGTTTTAAATGAGTAGATAATAAAAAAGATTCAAATTCAAATTCTCGTCGGTTGTCATTAAAAATCTGGTAAATTGTGCGGTCTTCTTATTTTTTCAGAAATCTACAAATAATTTTATCAAAATTTAAAACTTTTTATTTAAACTATTTTTGACTTGTTTTTTTAATAAAACCTTACCTTACCTTAAAAATTATTGCACTGTATAATCAACAAAAAAAAGTGAAAACATAAAAAAATATATAAAATTGTATTGAAAATGACGACAATCAACAAAACTGCAATAAAATTTAAAAAAGGTCAAAAATTGCAAAAAGTTGCATTTAAAATTTTTATATATTAATTATATCTAACCAAGTTAAGTCTATGCTAGAAATGAGCAGCTTATCAGTAGTCACAAATGTATATACTGCAGATTAGTATGGGGATCGCAAAATATGGGCATTGATAGTTTACAATGCCATCTATATAAAGCACTGACTTAGGGACGTATTATTTGCACTAGGGCTAACCAGGGCGACAAAATGTGGAGTAATTAGGGGATTTAAAAAAAATGTATTTTATTTAATTTAAATTTTTTATATACCATATAATATATCACTTTTATTTGTTATATCAAATACAATAAGATATTTCTAATAGAAATAATAATTATTTTTGTACTTAATACGAATCCAAAATAAATAAATTATAGCTGTATAAGAGCAATTTTTAGTTAAGATATCCTATTTAGGTGAAAATAGGTACCTATAGAGGCAGAAAAATTTTTGATACATGACTCGTGTTTATCTATTTTTAATGAAACATTTATATTTTTCCCCGAGTTTGATTTAGCGACAATCGTCAAATGTTGATCATGGATTATTATGATTATAATTAGAAAATTATACACGTCTTGTTTAAAATATTATTATTATTATTAGTGTTACTAATGCAATAATTCATTAGTTACATTAGTACAATGATGAGTGTTTTTTATTTATTTTTTTATATATTTTATAGACCCGATATTAAATTTGTATAATTATTATGATATAATAAATCTCCATCGACTAAGAAGTCTCAGAAATTTTAAAAATTTAAATATGTATGTTTCTAGCACAGATCCTGCACTATGGGAAATAAATGAAGCTACTAGAGACTATGTTGCGATTAACGACCCAAGCCAAAATTTGGACTACTTAAGATTTGTACGTTCAAAAAGAAATTATTCTAATCAAAGTAGACGATTATCTATTAACTTTTTTTAAATGTAAGCTTTTGAATGGAGAAAAAAGTATGAGAAATGATTTGATTTATTCAGAAAGCATGAGCTCAGTGCACTGTGTATAAATATTAATTTTGTCATGAGTCATKACCAAAGTTATAAATCAAATATTTTGGATATTTTTATTATGAGTACTTGTTTTTTTTTTTGTTTTAGTAAACAATATTGTTCATGTTAAATGTTACCAGTGGCGCCAAAGTAGTTTAAAAACAGTCGGTCAGACTAGGTAAAATAATGTAACTCACCACCTACCCCTAAAAAACTTCAAACAGACCCGTGGGGGGCAACGCCCCCCACACCCTCCTTCATATAATTACAAATAAGACATAGGTATCGTTCCAAACAGCAATGGTAAATAAATAATTTTAGCACAATAACATAATATTTTTATATTATAACATAATAATAATATAATGTATATTACAATCGTCAATCACTTAACCTATGTCTCTATAAGTAACTATTCTATACTATATTCTATAAATTATTAAAGCATTATATCAATACTAATTACTATACACGTTTAACGTTTATTTATTCAAAAATGGGTTGCATATTATATTACAAGTAAATACCCCATCATTTTTACTGATCATCCACGATCCACCAGGTCTACTGCTACCACCCACCAACCCAAAAAATTGGTCGGGCCTGTACCCCGTGTTCGGCGCCACTGAATGCTACTGTATTTTTCTTAATAAATGATATACCTATAATTTAATAATTAATGCTCCAATATACTGATATTGCAGATAGGAGCAGCAAAAATTATTAGCCCTGAGCAAAAAAAAACTTGAAATGCATATCTGCACTGACTGAGAACCAAAATTTGACACCAAATAAAACCACTGGTAGCACAGAAAACATTCAATACCCACTGCCCAGTATGAGAAAAAAGGAACATTTTGGTGTCAGTCTCCTGACCCCTGCCTACCAAGTCATTTCCAGTGCATTAGATCTTATTTCATGGTTTTAACTTATAATAAATTACAATTTGTAAGTATCTTAATTTATATTACGACTATTTAACTAATAAATGATTAAATTATTTAAAATGTTTAGTTTTCTGACAGATTCTGAGAGAAAAGTAAGGCTTTTAAACAAAATTAAGGGGTATTGGAGATGAGAATTTGTGTCACATGTTTAAAAAGGTACTAAGTTTTTGCCTCCTCAAAAATTTAATGCCAGAACCACTACTGGTTTTGAGCGTAATTACATTTAATGGGCCACTGTAATGGACGTGATAAATCAAAATTGATAATATATCATTACACACAAAAAAAATAGAGCTGAACCATCAGTAAGTTTATATTAAAAAGTATAGTTTAGTCTTTTAACCAAATATTTATATTACTATTAGTAATTTGTTTTACTATCAATAACACAGTAAGTAGAATTAATTTAAGCCGAAAACAAAATTAATTATACAAGACATTAGATAAAGTGAATATACTTGATCATATTATTAACAAGTCATTAATAATGACAATTGAATCAATTCAGACTCATGATAGAATAGTATTAATAGGTTCATGGTTTAAAACTACAATACTTTAAAATTAATGTTTATGAAATTAGTTGTCACACATTAAATAACAATTAATCTTCAAAAAATGTTTAATTTTTGTTGTGCTATAAATATATACTAATTATGGGAACTTGATACTATCATTCAGAATAGATAATTGTGCGGATTTAAAACTTGTACACATATTGTTATAAGAGGTGTATACTGTATATTAATGGTTGTGTATGTCTATTATCTATTAACTATTTATACCGTGAACCTAATCATACCATTTACTTTAATAATAATAATATATAGTTTTAATGTAATTATCAATTTTGTTTTAAGCAAAAATGAATTTAACTTACCAAATTACTTATATTAAAATAAATTACTTATAGCATTATAAAAATGCAATAAAATAATATACATTATATAGACAAATAAACTTCACTTTTTGACATCATCTTCACTCAGTTTTTCAAATGCAATTGAGTCATTAAACTCTAATTTAACACATCCATTAGTAACATAAACAATGGAGAGGTACAACTTGACACAAAATATATCACAGAATGAGTACCATAAAAGTTGATCATACTTATACATTTAAGTATAGACAACATATAAAACAATAAAACATATAAAATTCCTTCATAAAATTCATAAAATATACAAATTAAATTATCTTTAATCCACTTTTCCTAATATTAATTTCCTGAATTTACAAATTGTACACAAACAAATAAATAAAAGATTGGATACTCAACCTTGCTGTAGTGGGTTTGGTCACTGGGGTGGATTTAAAATTTAAATGAGTTGGGGCATTTTAAATAAAAGTTTTCAAAGGTAATAAAACTGTGAATAAATATACCACGATTGCTGTTTTCAACACAAATACAGCTATACTAGATTGTTTCATTATATTTAAAATGTATGGATATCATAGTTATATTTAATTCTTTTTTAAGTCAGGCCTGATTAAAATAATCGTGTTGGTATTATTAGTTTTTTGAAACTTACTCATATCTTGTATTGTTTTTTCAGTTACATAATTAAATTGATCTTCCTCAGAACCTCGAGAAACATATATAGAAGTTGAATCAAGAAAATACCTTAACTGAACTACTTCTTTATTCTTAAGTGGCTTAAACTTTATTTTATTGTCAATGACAACTGGTAATTCGTTGCATTCTTCAATTTTTAATTGACCAATCTCCGCTATAAATTAAAGAAAGAAACTAGGCTAGTCAGATGGTAAATGGTTAAAGAATACATTAACATTATAATATATTCAGTACACCAAAAAACTCTTGAGAAATTATTATACATTTTGAATTGTTTAAAATATATAAATATATTTGATTTAGAACACTAACCCGTACTACTGTCTATTGTTTCCTTTAATACTTTAACATTTTCTAAATCATGATCATCGGCGACATAAGTACATTTAATATTTTCAAAATGTGTTACAGTAGAATTTTCACAATTTTTGATAGATTTAATTTCACTAGGTAGTAATTTCAACACTTCAGTGTTCACTGAACTACCAGAATTCAATTCTCTTAGACTTATATTTTCTGAACTATCAATAATTTGTTTATTGTTTTCCTAGAAATAAATTTTAATTAAAAATAAGTTTAATAAGTGCCTGGGTAATTAATTACTTACAATACACAGAACTACATTATTTTCTATTAAGTTTGTAAAGAACTCTTGAATTTTATCTGTTACAACGGCATTAGGCGGAACGTCAATAGATACTGGAGTTKGTAACATTTTCTTTAAGCAAAATAATTTTAATTTAATTTAAGAACATAAATATCATATTTATTAACATACCTCTTTTAGCAATTCATCTGAAAGTTCAAATATCTGATCTAAATTAACTTTCTCAGTATTTCCAAAATCAATATAAGAAACATAGAATTCTGTATTGTCAATATTTATTATTTTAGCTCTAAAAAAACCATTGTATGAATTTGAATATACTTTGACAATATCTCCTATAAGTAGATTTATCTTTGTTACACGATCTAAAACAGACAATATTTGAATACAAATTGTGATAAAAATAGTATTTGATATTATTATAATTTAATTGCATATGGATTAATAGTTAATCCTAATGCAAATACATTTTAGATGAATCTCATGACATTAAAAAAAAAAAAACATCAATAAATCAGTCAAATTTTTACTTATCTTATTTGAATATAATATATTATATATATTTATAAAAATAAATAATATATATTTGATACAATGTATACATTACTCATAACTAACCTTCACTTTCCATAGTCTTCAAAATGATATGCAAATTATGCATTTCATAACTATTATTTTCACAATGTTTTATAGCTTTACATAAATATATATTTTTAAAATCTTTAAAATAAGAGACTATACAATAATCTCCACTTTTTAGCTTAATGGTTTGAAAGTCATTGATTAAACTTTTGTTTGATTTGATTATTGTGGCATTGTTAAGACGGTTGTTTGAAATTTCTGTTAATTAAAAATGATCTTAATGTATTTTAGAAACATTAAAAATAACAATGTTCATACCATTGCAAATTAATTGATTTTTTTTCAATTTTAAAAACTCTTCAAAAATATTTTCTGAATTGTCTTTTCTCCTTAAAGTAATTTCTTGATATCTATTGGGATTTCCTTCATCAAATTCCTAAAATGTACAAATAAAATTATCCTTAATCAATTTTTCTTATTAGTTTTTCTGAGTTTACAAATTATATACAAAAAAAAAAATAAAAGATTACTTTTATAAAGATAAGATACTCAACCTTGCTGTAGTGGGTTTAGTTACTGTGGTGAACTTAAAATTCAAATGAGTTAGGACATTTTAAATAAAAGTTTTCAAAGGTAACAAAACTGTGGATTAATATACCACAATTGCTGTTTCCAACACAAACACAACCATACTAGACTGCTTCTCACACGACTTCAAAAATTTCATGAAAGCATGCACAAGAAAATGGCATATATGGAATAACCAGACCATTAAACTTAACTAGATCAACCTTCAGATGGCAAATTCTAATACAGATCAAAAGCATGAAACCATTATATATCAGTTATCACCTAAGAATTGGACACATTAAGCTATCGTGGATTTCATGTCAAAAGATAAACCTTCCATCTGCAGATCTTGTTGCCTAAAACTTACTGACAAACATATCCTAACAGAATGCTATCTGTACGAGCGAAAGCAAATATACCTCAACTTGACCAAAAATCATTATGCAACCTTTGGAACACTCTCAGATCAAAACAAGGAAATTCTAAAAATTTTAAAATTAACTAATTATATCCACAAAATAGAATTAAATTTTTGAAATAATGTAATATTATGTAATATATAATAATTTTAAATAGTAATAAAGACATTTTAATTAATAGCTCCCTGCAAATTGTATTAACATCATAAACAAAAAAAAAAAATAACTTATACATTACATGACAAATCCATGAGCAGGATGGAGCCATAAAATGAGAATCTTCCAGATGACTTGTACCATATTGTGGCAAAGTAGTGTTAATATGTTGAAAAATTAATAACAATAATTTGTTTTAAACATGTAACACTATTGGTGTAGCTATTGCCACCACATTTTAATGTACAAAATTGTTGCAAATAATGTTGCAGGTTAACATAATTTATAAATACTTAACAAAAGCAATTTGAACAAAGGAAAACAATTTATTTATCTGGGGAAACCTAATGAAAGATGTCAGATGGAGTACTTATCTACAGGCTACAATTATTATTACTTAGCTAGTGAAGAAAATAATCTAATTTTTATAATTAAAATAATTGTTTGTTTGTTGTTTGCCATCATTACTTGTGTCAAGTTCAATTCATAGTAAGTCGCACATTTTAAAGTTAATTTTTCTCCGCTAAAGTGGATATAAAAAACATAAATGATGAAGGAAAAACAATTTTTTTTTTTTTCATTATTAATTGTTTATGGCATCAACTACATGGTTATTAGCCGGCGTTACATATTAAATTTACATTAATTACTTACATAATTGCTTTCTACTTATTACTTATAATTAARGATTTACATTTTAATCTAAGTTAGAATATTTAAATCAGTTGACACAGTCCTGTTGAGTTGATGAAATTGAGGAGTTTATTGGTCGTCTTGGGAGTGGGTGATAACGTCTCGTATAGTGTATCGGGTAGTTTTAGTTCAATGCGACTTTCACTGAATTGATGACATTCTGTTAGTATATGCTTGACTGTGATGATTGTTCCACACGTCAGGCATGGTGGAGAGGGTCTTCTTTGGCCATGAGATATCCATGTGTCATGCGCGTGTGGCCTATTCGTAGGCAGACAAGAATTACCTCGTCTCTTCTGGACATCTCAAATGATTTGGGCCATGGTAGTATCGAGTGTTTTATTTCCCTTAGTTTATTGTTATCACATTTCGACCAAAGGTTTTGCCATTCATCCATGTACTTGAATTTGGTTGAGTTTTTAAGTCTCTGTCCGATATGAGGGGGCATACTTCAAAAGCCGTGGTACCTGTTGTTACTTTTGCTTTTAGATCAGCTATTTCGTTACCTCTTATGCCGACGTGTCCCGAGATCCATGCGAGTGATATACTATTTTTACATACATAGAGTTCATTAATTATATGACAGATAACTGGTTGCGACGTATTTAAATTGTATATGCTGATTAAGTTACTTGAAGAATCGGACATTAATAGATATTTCTTATCGTAAGTACAGGGAATGCTTTGAATGGCTATAAGTATCGCTAGGGCTTCTACAGTATAAATACTACATACCTCATTAGTTTTTAATTGTATGTTTATGTCATTAGATATTACGGTTAAACCTGACTTCTGATCGATTTTTGACGCGTCGGTATATATCTGTGTGTGTTCGGGGTACGATTGTAGAAGTTCGTAATGTAGACCTTTATAAATATTCTTATCTGTAGTATTTTTGTTGTATAATGATAGACTAAGGTCTATTATACTTTTATTGAATCGCCAAGGGGTATGTTTAATATGGTGCTTTGAATTGTATTGTTAATTAAGGTTTTCATTTTTAATAATGAAATCTTGTTGTCTTTCATAAATTGATCTGAGATAAGATGCATTTATTGGTTTTGCCTGGGACCTTTTTTTAAAGATTTTTTTGTACACTGGATTCTCTTGGTGTTTGGCTATTTTTAGAATGTACTTGGTTTCGAGCTGTTTTCTCCTTAAAGAAAGAGGAGGTTCTCCAGCCATACACAATATGCTTGGGACTGGGCTACTTTTAAATTCACCTAAAGATAAGCGAATGGCGAAATTTTGTATTGTATTTAGCATTTGTATGGTTCTATGGTTAGCCGCTCCATAAATTATTGAACCGTAATCAATTTTCGATCTAATTAAGGTTTTATATATTTTAATTAGACTGTCTGCATCAGATCCCCATTCAGTGTGAGCTAATGTTTTTATAATTTTTATTAATTTGAGCGTATGGATTCTTAACAGTTTGATGTGTTGGCACCAGTTGAGTTTATTATCAAATGTTAACCCAAGAATTTTAACATTGTCGCAGTAGCCAAGTGTTGTTTTTTCAAATTTAATCATAGGTTTGGTTGTTTTTCTTTGACGGGAGAAAAGAATGCATTTGGTCTTGTTCGGAGAAAAAGTGAAACCTGTTTCGAGGCTCCATTTACTTAACTTATCCAGTGTTAGTTGTATTTGATTTTTTATTGAATTCATATTTTTTCCTTTACAATATATCAGTGCATCATCGGCGAAAAGTTTGATAACCGTGGGTGGAGGGACTTGAGTTGACATTTCGTTAATTGAGATGAGGAATAATGTTACGCTTATAGATGATCCATGTACTAAGCCATTCTCGCTTGTGAACAGTTCAGATAAGGTATTTTTAATTTTTACTTGAAATGTTCTATCATAGATGTGATTTTTAATAAATTTGAGCATGTTACCATGAATGTCGAATTGTTGCATAATTTTTAACACCCTATGTCTCCAGACGGTGTCGTAAGCTTTTTTTAAGATCGAGGCTTATCAGTATTATATTTTGATGGTTAATTAGCGCGTCACTGATATCCGTCTGTAAGGTTACCACTATATCGTTAGTAGATCTATTTTTTCAAAAGCCGTGTTGATGAGGTGACAGTAAATTATGTTTTTCAAGATACCATATGAGTCTATGATTGACCATCTTTTCTATTATTTTACTCATAGTGTTAAGTAATGATAAGGGGCGGTAACCTTCAGTGGTGTGCAGGTCTTGACCATTTTTCGGTATAGGCACGACTATTGCTTGTTTCCAGTTGTTAGGGAAGTTTCCTAGCACCCATAATTTATTATATATTATTTAGTAGAATTTCTTTAGCTTTGATTGGCAAATTTTGAATGAAAACGAACGGAATATCATCAGGTCCACAACTTTTGCTTTTCATTTGGTTCAAACTGTTGTTTAATTCTGTTAGGTTAAATATATCGTTTAGTGCAATACAGTCGTTATTAATATTCATGTTTGGTTCGTATATTATTGGATTATTTTGTTCATATATTAGCTATTAGATAGTTTATTAGGTATGTCAAACGGCTCCATAACTATAGCTCCGTCATTGACTAGTATTTTAATTTGCTGTGATGGCGAACCTTTGATTTTTTGATCTATGTCCATAAATCTTTAGAGCTGGACTGAGATGAAATAGATGTAGTAAAATTACGCCAAGAATTTGTTTTGCTGGTCTTAAGTATATTGCGAGCTTTGGCACGGATTTTTTTGAATGTTATAAGATCGCATGAGTTGTTATTTTTTTTTGAATTTGTTAAATGCTTTTTTCTTTTCTTTAACTATGTTGTCACATTTTGCATTCCACCACGGAACTGTCAATCTTTTTCCTTTGTATTGTGTTTTACCTATTACAGAGTGGGCTGAGATAATTATAGCGTTGGTAAATGATGTAACATCGTCATTAATATTAGAATTACAGGTTATTGAATTGGTTATATTTTCTATTTCATTATTAAAAGTTTCGGAATACTTTTGTCAGTTAGCATTTTTTAGTCTCCATCTATTATTTATTTCAACTGGATTTTGGTTATTGTCTAATTGGATGTTTATGGTTATGGGCCAGTGGTCACTAGAGTGTATTTCATCGAGTACTTCCCATTCTAAATATGTAGCTATATTAGAACTTGCAATAGACAAGTATATCACCGAGGTTTTTCCATTGTACTGGTTGAAATGGGTGGGCTGACCATTATTCAGTAGAATTAATTCGTCGTTGTCTAATATGTTTTCAAACAACAATTTATTTTGTACAGTACAAAAATTCAAAAGTTCAAAAATAAAAAAAAAATTTTTTTTTTGGGCAACCAACATTCCGTTGAATACTTTCCAACAGCAAAATTCAGGAATTTTTAGAAAAATATACCATTTAAATCTACTCTTCGTACTCTAATTTACTCTAATTTTTTAGCTAACAGAGATAAACGTGATCTGCTGTGAGTAAATTTGCAATATTATGCACTTGTAAGACGGAGACAACAAATAATGGTAGAGTAGCGCCCTCTTAATGTCCAACTACAATACAACACATAACAACATAACTTAACATCTATAATAAAATATATAATATATAATATCTACATAAAATACTTATTTTACATAATATACCTAAAAATGACTTGAAACTTACCAAATATAATGGAATTTTTTCATTATTTTTAATAAAAACCTCCAAGTCACGTGTCTTCTTTACAAAAGGTCCTYTAACTCCAATCTCAATGGCTAGTCCAGGAATCTACAAAAACAAGAATATTAATTAATATTTAATAACAATATTAATCACTAAAAAGTTTATTATATTATATCTATATAAAACAGATTAGATAGCAGCAGCAGCTTCATCAATTTGATATTAATGGTTCTGTGTAGTGTTCTATACTCTATTCATAATAAGAATAGTAGACAGCGGCGACCAAAAACTCGTCACCACTAGTCATACCCAAGCCCATTCTTCTTGCTGTTGCTTTCCTGACCAACAGTGCCAGCGCTTCACTCAACTCTGTACAAGTAGTAAAGACCATGCCCATGCACACAAACCGACCACTGTCTACTATTTCTTATTGTGGACAGACTATAGGTCTCTAGTTTTTTTTTTTTAAATACAGTTAAATGATAAAATTATATTTTATCTTGATTTATAAGAATTTAATTTGCAGTTATGTCTAAAAAAATTATACACGACAAATATTCAAGAAAACATAAATATTTAACATACCTAACTAATTATTTATAGAAACTAACAGTTTATTATTTAAAGTGTTACATTAAGGCTTTCTTTCCTTCTACATTAGTTTCTAACTACTATTCTATTACTGCCTCTGAGTGACCTCTTCTCATAACATAACCAAACCATCTCAAGTCTCGACCTATTCTCCCTCATTATGTTTACAATATATGCCACTAACAAAAGTATCTCCTTGATAGATAAATGAACTCCTTACTGTATCCTTACTATCACTTTATCTATTAAACCATAATAATCAACTAAACTGAAGAAATTAAAACATAATCCATAATGATTTATAAGATAATTTACAAAACCCATTCTCAATAAGTAACACATGGCACATGAACATTAAGGTGGTTCCAGTCGATCAAAAAAAAAAGAAGTCCCGCTATGACAAAATTGTAAGACTTTGGATGGTTCGATTTTAATGCTGTAAAAATAACATTTCTTAACATCTCCTCTGTAGAACCGTCGGAGTAATTTTTTTAAGTTTTAACTTTTGACAGTATTATAATATCATACAAATTTCAGTTTTTACAACATTTTTGTTCAATCATATGTATTGAATAAATTAATATTTATAAAAAAATTCTTCGTCCGTTCTTTAGAGGTTTTAAAATTTTTTAGGATTTTACAGTATTAAAATCACACCAACCTAAGTCCCACAATTTTGTCACAGCCAAAGTATGTTTTTACACGAAGAGTAACTGAATACTTTTTCCTAATATAACTTAACCTGACATGTGCCTGCGAGTGCGAGAACGCCAAATGCCGATAACTAATTAATTACGTGACGTTTACCCGGATCGTCGACCGGATGCCGACTATCTACCGAGAAACAATTTTCGATAATTATCAGATTATAATATTAGTCCAATAATAATAATAATAATAATAATGTTTTTCTATAATACACCACAAAAGAGATGGACTGAAAGAGTTAAGCTAATAAACTAGGTACCTATTGATTTTTTTATTGAATACTTTTTTTCAGTTTATACTTATATATTGAATATGCTATAAATTGAATTGTAATTATGTCCAACATCAGTTTTTTTTTTACATTTTTATATTTATTTACTAGGTACCATAAGTTATTCTTTCTAAATAATATTTACATAATAATATATAAATATGTAAGGTATACCTATATACATTTATTATTATTTTTTGCTTTATTATAATATTTATTACTATCTATTATAAAATAAAATATGCTTTTACAAGATAAATCGTTTTTAAAAATATGTATTTAAAAAATATGAATTGTTTAATAATTTAAATATTTAAAACGCTACACTGAATAATTATTATCACGCTATAGCAACTTAAATTCCTACGTACTTATGTTGATAATATACTAAATCATGCAATATTAAAAAATAAACAGATCACTGAGCTTGATTGGATTTATTGTGCGTTATCTTTATCTATGCATTTATAAATAATACCTAAATAWTATTATATTATAATAATAGTTTAAGTAGTGTATGATGCGTGTGGGTACCCGGTGGACTATAAGTACCTAATGTAGTCTATTGTTTGATTCTTCGAATGCGGATACAGGTCGTAACTCGTAATGCATTATTGAGATACAGTGTACACCAGCACGCACACACACTAATGATCATTTACACTCGCACACATTGATATGACCAGGTTATACGTGACACATAATTTGCCTAAATCTTACTCCTTAGAAAATGACTGACTAGAACCCCCTTAAAATCAAGACAGAGAAAAAATGTTGCGACAATGATATTGTATAATAGCAAACAAAAAAAACCAGTACTTCCGTGTTATCTAGACTACCCAAATATTTCCAAGACTACCTATTATATGATCAACCGTGTTAGTTCGACTACCACAATTTTTTAAATAATAAAAATAATTAATAACATTAAATTTTAATTAATGTATTTGTAATATAATATTGTTTAATTAACATTTAATTAAATCTATTCTGAATAATAATATAAATCTATTTTGAAACATGATGAAATGGATAAAAATTTTAAAAAATGTATATAATATGATAAAAATGTGTATAGAAAAAATTGTAATAATATAATATAAATAATAAATAAAAAATTTAGTGCACTTGGTAACACTCCGCATTCTTGGAGAAAATTAACAGCCTCCTTCACAGATGATGGCAAATTAAAAAAATTCATATTGACTAGACGATATATTTAACTAGACGTAGCGCTAATATGGACAATAGGAGTATTATCGAATGACTAACGAAATAAAAACCAGCATAAAATGGTTAAAGTCAACTAAATGGCTTATAGTAGGTACATTGTACATCGAAGACAAAATTAAATTGTACATTAGGATGATATAGATTACAACGCGGGAATATATATTTATTAATAAATTACGGTCTACGGAGGTAGTGAGATAACCCGGATAATTCTAACAGGTAGTCTTGGAAATATTTGGGTAGTCGAGATAACACGGAAGTACCAAAAAACCGGACGGTATATCTCGAAATTCTTCATACTAAATCATCGATAGAATTAAATAAATACTTTAGTTTCTCAAAACAATTATATTTTAAAAATATAAATAAAACAGTAATAATTAAATCTATAAAGTAAAAATTACGAACAACTTAATGAATAAGTTACAAAATTAAAATAAAATTGTACATATACACATTCATATATGATATGGAAATTGATATAAATATAAATATCTAACCTTTGATAAATCATCTGACAGTTCACAAATAGAATTTGCCTCCACAAATTCACAATATCCAAAATCAATATTTTGAACATAAATCAAATTAGTATCGACATTTAGAATTTTAGCACGGTATTGACATTTTTCAAGTACAATTTTAACAATATCTCCTACATTTAACTCTTTTTTACAAAGAGCCGCTAAAAATATAAAACATGGTTAATACATTTACTTTTAAAAATATTATTTGTATAAAAAAATTAACTCACTCATATCTTGAACAAATTTTAACATCATATCATTTAATAAATGTACATTCTTCACAATATAAACATTACTCATATCTTCAAAATGTTTTAAAAAAACTATATCATTATTTTTTAAATCACTAAGTTGATTAGTATTGTTATGAATTATTGAARTATTTTTATCAATTTGTACAGGTGTAAGTTCTAATTCATAAAACAGTAAAAATGTTAACATATATTATTATTTATTCAACAAATAAAATAAAGGATTATATTTAATTATAATAACCATCATAAATAATAAATAAAATTACCAGATTCTACTAACGAGCATTTCATAAAATATTGAGAATTAATATATAATCCATTTTCTATATCCTTCAACTTAACATTTTCTAGACAATTTTTACTGTTTTCATCAAACTCCTAAAAATAAAATATATTTATAAACATTTAAGTATTTAACTAACATTTTTATTTCAAAGTTGTAATAAAAATAATTAAATTATGTATAATATTGTGTGACAATTTCAAAATATAATAAAATTGTATGGCATTAATCATTGTTATTGTTTAATTTTAACAACATTATTGCTATATTTAACTCGTTGAATAAATTATATTTTGAAATTAGTGGGTTAATTACAATTGCAGAAATATATAGAATAAGTATATTATACAATACGCACAATCACAAATGGCTTTCCAGCATTACAAAAAGTTTGAAACGCTTGTTTTATTTGTTCAGTAATTTGAAATTTTTTTAAATCACCGAGTCCTATTTTAACAGCAATTCCAGGCTAAAATTGTAAAAAAAAAAACAGAATTATAGATTAGACTATACATGTATAAATAGTAATTTTATTTGTATTATTCACAGGAAAACTGGCTTTAAAATTAATTTTATAATTAATAGCTGAAAAAATTATTTTTATGATTTTTCCACAAAAATTAGATATTTTATAATAGTTTGACATTTGTATGTAAAAATTATTAAATTTGTCACACACATTTAGTAATACTAATTTGCAGTCCATCAGTTTTAATTAACAATATTGCTTTTCTAGGATTTCATGTTCACCAACTAACAATAAAGATAGGATTCCTAAATTATAAAAACTTTTTTCATCTATCTGCTAGGATAGATAGTTATATTTTGGCTTACAATAATATTATATTAGTTTTAGAATTTAAAAAGAATTTTCTAAAAAAAATAATGGCAACTACTTCAATATAATTTTATAATTATTATGCCTATAGACAGAAGCTGTCTTATATCTTTAGACTTGCATGACTCAAAATATTACAATCATTCCACAAAACCATGGTACATACAATGTATATTGAACATATCAATAATCAGTGTATGTATTTCGTATGTATGTACATTAATATTAAACACAAAACATTTTGTAACAACACCTGATGTAATGATTTTTGTAACTTCAGTATTGGTGAGTGTACTGTATAATAATTAAATGATAGTTGGTGAAAACATAATATTAAGAAGATGTTGGTGCAATATTTGTTTTCTCTCTCAAACTCGTGCGTGAGTGTAGTTAAAACACTTTCACTAATTTTATATGATGTTTGAGTAAAATCATCTATTAAAAAATTTATAGAGGATATTATGACCAAATGGTTTTAAATTTAATAATTATTTGACTTGGTATTTGATTTCATAACTAAAAAATAGAAATTGTCATTCCCTCAAAAATATTAAATAAATAAACAAATATCAATTTTAATATGTTATTTTACTCTAAAATTATTTGAAAAAAAAATTAAAATTAAATGATTTAAGGCCGTTCTTACAATGTCCGGTTAAGTGTCGGTTAAGACTAACCGGTAGAATTATATCGGTTAACTCATGATAAATTCTTCCGGCTAGTGTTATCAGGCACTAACCGAGCATTGTAAGAATGGCCCTTAAAGTAAATGCGTTTTGCTTGGCAAAGAGAGAAACAAACAGTGCGCTGACATTTTTTTAAGGGTTTCGTGTAAGTTATAAGTGACATATAATTATGATACATCACTTACCTCTTACAAAACTCACTACATACATTTAAATAAATCATTTGGTCAGTATTTAATATTTTAAATTATCAAGAAGACGCTATACTCGCATTTATTATCTCTGACTTACAAATATAAAACATAACTGTTTTGAGCAGGAAACAACAGAGAAAGTGATCAGCATAACTAAGAATCTAAATTTTCACATTAAAAAATATTAGAACATTTACAGTACGATGTTGCTTTTAGTTTATGGTATTTAGAATAGAAAAAATATAAGAATAACAGTTTTACTGTTTTACATTTGTGAAACTTAGAAAACACATCACCCTCTAAATAATTCTTATATCATAGTCAAAGAAATATTGTTTATTATTTACATGAACTAGTAACAGTATTAGTTATGAAGAACACTCATTGAATACAATGTAAAACTATACAGGGTTTCCCAAGCACATTTACCCATTGCGGTATCTCCCGAAATAATGGATATCAAAATTCTGGTTTTTTAATAAGACTCACAGAGATAAGAACTACTATTATTTAATTTTTTGATTAATGGTTTGGTAAAAAATGTAAAATATATATTTTTTTATTTAATCATTTCCAAAAAAATTAAAGACAGCCATTATATAGTTTATTTTTCTAAAAATATTGATGTTTCAACATTTTATTTTCATTAATTTCTTGATTTTAAATATTTATTCTAGTTATGAAGAAATAAGATATGAATATAACTAGAAACGCTGAAAGCAATCGGCCGGCTGTAAGAGCACATTCAGGGCGCAGCGTTTCACATGTTTGATAACACTAGTGTTAAATAATTCGCAATTTAACTAAAAATAAAAAATAAAAATAAAGAAATTGATGAGAATAAAATTTTAATATTATCAGAAAAATAAACTCTACAAAATGGGTGAATTTTTTTGGACATAAATAAGTAAATTAATAAATATATTTTTAACCTTTTTACCAAAATATTAAAATATGAAATAAATATAGTTCTTGTCCCAGAGTCTTATTTAAAGATCAGAATTTTGATATTCCATTATTTTGGGAGATATTGTAATGGGTAAATCATGAGACACCTATATAACAGACTGAAAAAAGAAAATGTTAAAAGTTATATCAAAACATGTTTTCCATTTATGCATAATTTACATAGACTTAATGTACAAAACTTAATGGTAATATGCATATTTTTTTTGAGAGGCAAATCATAAAAGGAAAAATACAACATTTAAAAACAACTTAGTTTTATTTCTGGTATAGAATTATGATTAACTAAATAAAAGCAATGGAAAACAACTTAATCATTAAAAAAATATATTAAAAGTTTAAATTAAGTTTAAGAAAAATACCTTCTTCAATTCATCAGCTAATTCATAAATAACATTTGATGGAACTGTTTCAATATTTCCATAATCAATATAGAATACATCATAACTGCCATTATTATTTTTTAATATTTTTGCTCGATATAAACCTTCATTTTCATATGAAAATACTTTCACTATGTCTCCCACAACAGGATAATTCTTAGGTATTTTATCTAGTAAATAAAAAAATACATATATAAATTAATTATCTTATAATGTATTAAATAACAATAATTGTAAATATCAAAATAAGGCACTAATTAGTTATATCCAATGACCATTGATATATAACTATACTAGTTATCTGACTACTAATTACTCAAAAATAAGAATAACAATCAGTTATCAGTTATTTTTTTCAAATTTAATCTGAATTGTTTGATGTTTTTTGACTGAATGCATTTCACACACTAACATAAACACAAAAAGATGTTATAAAGTTATTTTAAAAATATACAATAATATAAAGTATGTAAATATTTGATACAACATTTATTATGATCATGTACAGTACAGTTGAACTCAAGAAAAACAAATTAAATGGTAGTTTAGTTAATAGATAACACAATTGTTTGAAACTATTATTAAATTAATATTTTCTAGAAGTGAAGAACCAACAGTAGAGAAATATTGTAAACAAAAATCAAGTAAAACCTATTTTAATAATAAACTTGAATCAAATTGTGAATATTAAAATTTGAAATAGGGAGTTAATAAAACACAAATTACCAATTGTTCAAGCATGACTAATYCGATAGGTATGATTACATCTTTATTAATAACCAAAATCCTCTTCAGACCCAGTAAGTTACTCAGTTCTCGGCTTCTCACTGGCTAACTATATTATCAAGTATTAACAGTATTCATCTATTAAATTTGGTCGACTAAAATACTAAATTATTATTCATTTTTAACACATTTAAAGTACATCATACATTTTAAATTGTTGATTTTTTTTTTTCTTATGAATAATTGACTTAACATGTAACATTTAAAATTCTCATATTATAAAATATTGGCGCCAAAAATATAATGACCAATGAAATAACAAGAAGTACAGTAGGCGTAGTGCACTACAACAAATGATACGATAACTAATACCAATGTGATCATACCTATCTATCTATTTAGTCATGATTGCAAGTAGTCTTAGATAACTAAATTAGGAAACAGAACAAAATAAATATTTTATCATTATTTAGAATTTAAAAAAATGTTCAAGTTTTAAAAATAATTTGTTTAAATGATTTGCATATAAGAAATATAAACTTAAATTAACCTGTACTAAAAATGGTTTCTTTTAAAATATCGAAATCAAATAAATTATAACTGCCATCATTGCCATCATCTTTTACAGCTTTGCCAGCATACAAACAAGTAAAATCTTCAAAATAAGTCAAAATGCAATAATCTTTATTTTTTAATGGCACAATCTTAAGTTTTTCTTCGCTAATAAAGCTACCTTTTCTGGAACTACTAGATAAATATAAGCTGTAAATACAATTTTTTTTAGTAACACGATCATATCAAATAGTCATTACCAGTGGCGATTCTTAGAGAAAGAGGGGATAGGACAGATCACCCTTCCCTGGGTGAATTTTTTATTAAAATTTAAAACATTTTATAAAATTTCCAATAGTTATGATTAAAGCCTAATCTTAATGGTAATCAAATGTTTTTTTGTAGTATCTATATTTGAAAACCGTGGTTACTCCTGGTTGTTATTGAATATTTTGAACCAACCCCCCCCCCTCCCCTTGAAGTTAGATTAAAACAGCCACTGGTCATAAGTTAGAAGAAAAAATATTTTACCTCAATTCGTTATCATCTTGACCATTCGTTATATTATTTTTTACACTCACAATTTTTAAATCATTAGCACAGTTAATGCTAAAACATTAAAAACAAAGAAATTAGAAGGCATCATGTTTACTTTAAATTAATTAATGCCAAGGACATTTTAATTAAATACATAATAGTTATAAGATTAAAAAAATGTTACCTCAATTTATCATTATAATGACTATTGGTCATATTTTGAATATTTATAGTTTTTGAAACATTCCCAGGGGTAATGCTAAAACAAATTTAAAAATAAATAAATTATAGAAACTAGTGATTACAGTAAAGGCATAGTGTAAACTGAACATTTGTCGTAAGCACAAGAACCTTTAGAAAAGTGATGCTCAACTATCTTTATTTCGGTGTGCGAAATTTATAAAATATTGCCTTTGATCACCACTTATACAATTTATAAAATATCTAGAACCCATTTTTCATACCTTACCTTACTTAAACCCAAAAATTGAATGCAGGCAATAGGCTTTTTTGCAGTGTATTTTCACAACAAAAAATATATACAATAATGTAAACAATAACAAAAGTTACCCATAGAAGTACCTGTAGATCATTAATTCAATTATTGTATAAAAAAAATACTAAATTGTGTGCTTAATTAAAATGAATATGATAGAAGTTAAGAGAAAGAAAACATGCCATATTAAATTTTTATTAAGCACTATATGAAAACAATTAAAAACCAAGGTTTCTATAGGTATCTACTATTATATTTTTACTATTTATTGCTAATAATGATAAAATACACATTAACTAAATAATATTAAAATACATTACTTACTCTTTTTTGGATTCTAATAATTGTTTTTCATTCACACCATTTTCCAACTTTGTATCATTACAGTTAACATCAACAAGAACGACACCTTCATGTAGATTCTAAAATTGAATAAATAAGAACAATAATAATAGAATATACAATAAAAACTAATAAATATAAATAATATTAGCTATATTATTAATTAGTAATAATTACACTTTCTGATAGAAGGGGTTTTATAGAAAATGTTGTTTTCTTCGGAATAAAATCTTTGAAGGTAACTGGTAAAGCCTAGAATACAATAGTTATTATATATTGATTAAATCAAATTAAGGGTTTAAAATCTAAATAACTTTTACTTACTAATGGTTCATACATAAAATAATATGGAAGAACAAACAGATTTTCTAACTTAGTTTGATAAACAGAGCCATAATCAATTAATTCTAGTCTGGTATTTTCAGTTTGAAATTCATTGAAACTTATTAATTTCCCTCTGAACCTTAATAAACAAAGTACACACCCAATGCATTTTGTATGTAGAGAAATTGGAACAAATACACTTTACCACCCTATGCAAATTTTCCTATTTTCTATTTTTTTTTTTTTTTTAAACTTATTTACGTTAACCATTTTAGAAGAATGGTGCAATCTGAATTTGTCGGTCGGACTTAGTTTTAATGTTATGGCCATTAGAAATAAGCAATTTTACGTACAGCCAATAACACTATAATTTACCTAGCTCTTCATATATTTTTTTTTCTATTTTGGTACATACGTGTAAACCAACCATATTAAAATGATGGTTTTTGAAATATTTGTAAAGGGAGCAAGTTGGAGTATGATAAGTAGTTGATCCCTTTGCCTACTGGCTCTGGTCATCAGACCTAAAACCTAACCTAACTCGATGGCCAATTAAAGTAACATAAGTATAATATAGTAGCTCCATTTACCTGCCTAACTTCACGGCTGATATTTAGTATCAGTTCTAGTGTTGGCCCATCCCTAATTATAATACATCATTAAAATTTTATTACACCAAGTGCCAAAATTAATTTGATTGTGCCGGGCCAGTGCGTGACCAATGTGGGTAAGCAACAAAATAACCTAGGCGTAAAAATAAGTCAAGTAAATAAATAGTTACAACATTATATCACCACAACTTTGAAACTAAATTCTGATTGCACCATTGTTTTCAACTCATTAATATACTTAAGTTTCAAGAAAAATATAGCAAAAGTTTTGATTAACGTAGTGTTGCGCTCAAACGTAGTTAATCAGACACTTCCAGAGACTATAACTTTAAAACAAAGTATTCAGTACCATTATTTTTAAATAAATAATATAAGTTACAAAAAAATTAAAAATTTGAATGGTGTGGTAAAGTGCATTTTCGCAGAGGAATTAAAGATGATTTCTTATTATTATAAAAAATATATTACCATTTGCCTTCAATTTCAACAGCAACTATTTGAAATACTTTAAATTGTGTGACTTTATCATATGAGCTACTCTGTAATGAAATTGATTGCATGTCTTTATTTCGCTTTTCCATTTTATCCTTAGTTGTGACAATATAAACATTTTTTAAATCACTTGAAAGCAAATCAACCTATTAAAATAAAATTAATATTAAGTATAATCTTCAACAATAAAAAAATTATAATGATTAATAGATGGTAGTCTACATGGGTAACTTTTAGCACTAATTGTTAAGGGGGCAATTATTAGTAACAATTAACTGGTCCATTAAGAATGATCAGTTTGCCCTCTCAAAACCTTTCATTTTATTGTTTATTTTTTTTTTTTGAAGAGGCGACCACTTATCTTGGCTCCACTAAGATGCCGCCCTAACTAACGATGATAGATATAATTTTAGTGATATTATCAATTTAAGGGATGCTTCTTATTCTGTTTTAATACATTTAAATGTAATGTTTACGTGCAAAAGTGCAGACTAGTAAGAAAAAAACACAGAATGCAACATAATTTTAGGAGAAATAACAAAAAATGTTGGTACAAAATATTGAATTATTAGGCAGTTAGTACAACTGTTTCTATGGGTCTTAAAATATTAACCTATGACATAAATGATACATTAAAAACTAAGTTATAAACCAACAATACAGCTGATGAGAAAAATAATATATTTAAAAAAATTGTATTTTGTGTTTGTAATAAGTTATATTAAATAAGAAACAATATATAGGCAGACCTACAAAATAAAATATGAAAATTGTAAATAATATAGTTGTGAATAATGTAATCTTAACCCAATGAAATAAAAAATTTTGTAACCCAATGACCTATGTCGCAGAGGGTATATTTCGTTTAATAAAAAAAAAAGAAACAATATGGTATATAGATCAACTATTAGGGCTAACTAACCACGCACCCATTGCCTTTGTGTAAATCAAGGTTTACAGACCACCATGATTTAAAAATTAAAGCGAGCACGTGGGGTCAACTATTTACTATTTGGATCTATCCTTGTACAACGATAATAATGATTACACAAAATTAAAGTTGAATAATAAATAATATAAATAAGCTTCTATGAAAAACATGAAAACCATTATAATTTGTGAACATACCTCGGTCCACGTGTTCAGAGGCAAGAACTCCAATACTTGTTTGGATGTAAGTGGGCTCAATACCATTATTATGTAGTTGTATTCTAATTAAAATAAAAAATAATTATATTCTTAACAAAATAACTACAAAAAGTAAGCAATAATTGACGAGTTGACTCATTCAAATTCAAAATTCAGAATGACAAAATGAACAGACTGCCGACCGCCAACGGTAAATTGTTGGTCGAAGCCACTATAGCCGCTTGTCAAACACAAATAGACAGATGATAAATAAAACAGTGTAATAGTATCCCTATTTCTATTTAAAATATTGGTATGGATTATCTATATCTAAGAATTATATAGTATATATAATCCGTTAGTTGTTACGGCTGGTCGCTAGAATCGCGCACACCACACATCAACACTGAAAATGAAAACCATGATTGACCAATTACCGGAAACTACAGGTTAAGATATCATGTGGAAGAAACAATGAAATCAGATAAATATTTTGCTATTTAAAAAGGTTTCAAAAGCAAAATTTATAATAAAATTTATACTGAAATGCTTTGAATCGTTATCAATAATGTAACCGTTAATAAGAACGACTGCAGATAAGACATAATTATATCACATACTTCAACCATATAGAGTAATAAGTATATTAGTATACTATATAATATATTTATATACAATATTATGATCACTCAATCGTGATCTAAGATAGAATAGCCATCTACAACTAATGAACTAAACTGTCTATAAAAAAAGAAGAAAACCGCGGAATGCACAGTCTGTCCTCTGTCCTCCATCACAGCGTCGCAGTCCGCAGAACATTGTAATTTATTGTGAATTGTGATATAGCATTATAGCCTCAAAAGCACAAAATAAACTAGACCGTGATAACAACAACATGGTCACGTCCGGCCACAGATATATAAACATATGTTTATAATATATCTGTGCGTCTGGCTCACCACGACAATAAAAATAAAGTTAGGTTAGGTTAGGAGTTGTGTCTTGTGTAGTTGTTGCCTTGTTGGCGTTGTGCCKTTGTTGCATAAACCCAAGGTTTATAGGTATTGGGTAATTATTAATTAATTAAATATAATTATCTACGAATGTCGAATACCCCAATCTCTTATATTACATTATTACGTATCAATGGTACTTACTCGTACGTCTTTAATTATGTTACGTAATACTTTATTTTTTATTTTAATAAATCCTTCGTCTATGCTTACAATAAGATGTATAGCCACAAACCTACAAAAAATTTCCAATATTATAGGTACTAAACAATAATAATGTGTTTGTGTTTTTGTCAGATTGCATAGAAGCGCAGGGAATCGCGGAAAAAAATCCCATGGAAAAAAAGCCCTCCGAAAAAATTAAAATTAAAATAAATGTTAATACATCTATATTTAATATAATTATTATATAATATTTTTAGATTCTGAGCGGAGCGATGAATGTATTGATTTTACCATGATGTGTTTTTTTATTTTGTGTGTCTGTCATCACGTTTTGCGACAATAAAAGTGCTTCGATTTTTGACTTCAGTACCTCGTTCAATCAGAAAGTGAATCTAGTTGGTACTTTGGGGGGTCAAAAGTGAAAAATTCTTAATACTTTTCTAAATAATCGAGAAGAACAAACTAAAAATTAAGGGAAAAACGGGAAATTTTACGCACACTCATTTTTCGACAAAATCGATTTTGGTTTTTGATGTTATTTTAAAAAAAATGACTATAGATACATGAAATTTTCACCGAATGTTTATATAAGTATATTCACCTGTATATTCTATCCACCATGCAATTTTCCACCAAA